AAAAATAGATAAACTAAAACTACAAGATGGTGAGAAAGGAAGAAAAAGATAGATGAATACTGAGAACGAGAAGCGATTGTAAAAGGAAGAAGGATGTGACGTCTAAGGGATGGGAACCGAGAGAGACAGAGAGAGAACGAGATGGAAAGGATGATGGAACGGGGGGATGCAGGGCTGGGAACTGGAGGACGATTCCGGGAGTCGAGGGTTGCTGCAGTCGGTAGCACGGAGGGATGAAATGGGGAAAACATTCGCCCGGGCTCTGGCGGCTGGTGTCGGGGCTGGGTTGATACACAAGGGGCCCATGCCAGAGTGTGCGCCGGTAATTGCGAGCTCTATGTAGATCCACTTACAGTGATTAAAAACTGTCCTGCTGGGTATCATCCGCGGCGGAACGACGCATCGAGGACGTCTGCCCGGGAAGGAAGAGAGGAGCGAAACGATCAGGATGCGCGCCGCCAAGAATAATTCCGTCACGTTTTGCGGCCACGTCATTTCGCGCGTCTTCAGCAATCTCCGCGTTGTCCCAAGATTTTCGTGGTCCGATCGTCCATATTCGAGGAAGGAAATTGTATGCTCAAGCGCAACTTTTCTTACTTATTATTTTTTAGATCACGGTACTTTCAGATTATATGCCCATTGTTATATAATCATCTTGGCAATGAAAATAATAATAAGTAAAATAACGAAGTAAAATATTTGAGGGAATTTTTAGATTTTTTTTTGAAGAGGAAAGAAATATACGTGTTATAAAATAATTATTCAAAAACGAAAAGCTTATTGTTTGAAAAAACTTAATAATATGTAAACTTTAATTTAATATATTATATGCGTATTGTAGCATTATTAGAAAATTGCAACATTATTATATATATATATATATATATATATATATATATACATATATATATGTAACATTATATAATAATTATTATTTTGATAAAAAACAGAAGAAAGCGAAGACTCGATGAGAAAGACATCTTTCGAGAAAAAACTGATTTAGTCTTAAATATAGGGATTTTATAGCCAATTTAAAATAATGTGTTACTAATTTATGTATGTAAAAGTAAATGGAGACATTTGCGATTAAATATTCAATATATTACATTTCAAAAAGTTCAATTTGTATTTTATAAAAGCGAATTATGTGCAAAAATTAATCAGATTAATATAATCGCTTTTCTTGTATTCCGTTTTACTGTATCTATTGTATGCGGAAACTGCAGCGCAGTCCAGACTTTCAATTAAGGAAATAAGTTTAGGGTGAAGGCGCATCACCCTGCCATCTCAGTCTTAATTACGATTTGCTCTATGTAGCACGAAGACATTTGCTTTTATTGGTACGAGCGTTGAAATGACTTGATTATAAATTAATTACAGAAACGTAAAACTTAACTTTGTACACAATCAATTTTTTTACTCGTAATTATAACATAAATGAAATTATTTTATTTTTGAAATTGTTCTTAATCATTAAAAAATAATATATTTATTTCTCTAAAATTGCCCGTATTATGTATAATATATAAATTTCATATATAAAATTCATATTTCATATATAAATTTCATATATAAAATAATTGAATTGATGACTTTGTACGTAAATGAAAGCATTCCAATTTCGCGCACTTTATTATCTGTATGTATTTAATCAATTTGCAATCGATATTTTTTAACAAAAATTTGATTATGTTTATATTATTTTCGCAACTATTTGTTCAATGATTAATTTTGTGTAATTAAATTTGAAAATTATGCTACAGTCTATTCATACAAAATGCACAAATTATAAGATTATATGCTTTACAAGAAACTTTACATACATGTTCGAGTTTTGTCGGAATAATTATGTTGCGGGATATATTTTGCCGATGCTGAATTAGATCGACCCGGGGTCAGAAGGCAACTGAGCAAAATCCGCGGTTAACTGGCTCGAAAAGGGAAAATCACGGCGGCGCCTAAATGTAGGGTGAATCGGATGGATAAGCATAGCACAAATTGCAGGATCGTGCGGTGCTTCTATAGAATTCCTAATGCTTCGACATTTACTTTGATCGGCATCAACACAGGATTTAGTAGGAACCAAACAATGTTGAGCATAAAAATAGACGACGAGGCTATTGCTATAAAATTATTTTGCGTTCCTATGTTGAATTAATATCTAGGAAAGTATATCAATGCATATATTATACAGTCTATCTATATAGTCATTATGTGTTAAATGAATCATTTAAAATTATCCTCAATGATTCCCGAACTTGAGTTTTATAGAAAAAAATATTTTACATATAAAAGTTATTAAATTCATGTTTCGTGTTTTAAGTGAAAGATCATGATTTTTAATATTTTTGTATGTAAAACGACAAAGAGAATCGATAAATGAAAGAACAAAACATGATTGTATTTAAAAAAAAGATAATTTTGCAATCCTGGAAATGCTTTCACTTAATAAAAAAGAGAGAAGAATAATCTGATAATAAAATAAAGTACAAACGCATCTCTGGTGCGCGTGACGTATTGAAACGCACGATCGGAAAAGGGCGGTGGATAAAATTCCCACACAGAGTTCCCGTATAAAGAAGTGATTAAATATTTATCCAGAAGGTGCCGGACATCTGTCGATATGCCTTGTTGCACTTTATTTTGGCGCGGTATATTTGTTTAACATTAACGCTACGTGCGAGCGCGCGTTCTCTCTCACCCTAATTCGCCTCGTCGTCGTCATCACTTCTGCAAACAACGGCACACATGCTACGGTCTACTCGAGGTTTGGTCCGTGGCCAAATACGAATTATTAGCGTTGTCTTTGGCATGTACTATGGCAAACATGCTTATAACGTAGCCGACAATCGAGATAATTTAAAAAAAAATGAATAATGTGCTTTTAGTTTAGATTTTTTTTTCAATTACAAAACGCTCTACAAAGCATTAATTAAATCTAAACTTTTCTACTATTTTTATTCTCTTTTTTAATTGAGATTTTCTGCACAGCTCTATATAAGAATATATATAGAGAAATGAGTCACGCTGCTGTATTAAATAAGTAATTGCAATGAAAATTGCCATTCTCTCATAAAACTTTTAAACGATGGCGTCTTTAACTTTATAAAACAGAATTCCTCTTATGCGTCAAAGTTAAATTGATATCTCTTCTTTTCTTTTCAATTTGATTTTGCATCTCGCCTTTTTTTTCATTTAACGATAGATCGATGAAGAAACGCGACGCTAGGTGTAATCAATTTCAGATTAATTAACGCACGAATGCAGGTTCGTGTTGTTCGCCGCATAGTTACGACTCGAATTTCGCGAAAAATCGCCACGCGCGACGATCGGCAGCAACAGCAGCAGCAGCAACAGCAGCAGCAGCTGATAAAAATCCAATAGCCCCAGTGTTTGCCAGCCGGAAAGGGCAATCACGTTCATCATGGTGTCCTGCGCTCCCGCCGCTGCCTCCCGCCGCCGTCGCGGTGTCTCCCTCCGCCACCCCCATCTCGCGTCCCTTCCAACCCCCGTGCGATCTCCCCTCGCTCCAACCGACAGCTCGAGCAGTTACGTCCTACGAGCCCTGAGCGTAGCCGCCCCTGGAAAATCCGGGGGTGGGATTCACGTGCGCGCACGTTGAGAAACGAACGTCCGGAGAGTGACGAGGAGGGACGGAGATTGAAGGGGATCGTTGCACCGTGTAAGGGAGTCAAAGGGGGAGGGGGCCGAGGGTGGGAATAGCGACGGGGATAGAGGGATCGAAGGGGAAACGAGGGTGGACGAGCGGCAGCGCCGCCGGTCAGATAAACGCTAAAGCAAATAAATCCGCTACTTTAACATGCAGGTCACCGCAGGTGTCTGTTTATTTTATTCGTTAAATATTTCATTTGGCCGGCTAGGGCCAATTACGAGCGCGCCGAACGTCCGGTCTCGCCGTTCGCTCTGACGAGCGTCCAACTTTGAATCGCGTCTCTCGCGCGATATTCTCTCATGTCGCGATAGAAAATGTGTACGTTGCGATAACGTTTCGCCCCCTCATTGATATATAAAACGTGAACTTGAGTCTTGATAAATATACCTAATAGAGGCTTCAAGCCATTGCGATTTCCAAGCAAGAGAATAATTATATCTTCTTGATGTCACTATAACTATTTTTAATCTAATCATATTAAACATATTAATTTGAATAAAAAATACTTATCTGAAGCCTTATTAATGCATCAAAGATAATTACTATTTATTTTATTTGATTTAAATTTCATATGTTAAAGAAAATCCATTAGTTTCTTAATACGTATCTTAATGTATTTCTTTCAAGGAGACGTCATATAATGCAAAGATAAAAAATATTATATTTAATATAATATTGATTTAAAAAGGAAAACAAATTTATATTTTAACATACATGCAGATAATCATTTTAAAGATGACGATATCAAACGAAGATTCTGTATTAATAAGATATATAAAAAATACTCGATTTTACATTAAAGTACATTACATTACATTAAAGTAACCGACTTTGATAGTAATAATGATTAATTTATTGCTACGGTAATTGTATTTCTCTTAATTTTACCTGATACTTTATTTTTGACATTTCTTATATCTATGTGAATAACATTGAATATATTACATCTAAGAAATATTAATTAGGAAAAAAAAACAGATTTTAACATATTTACATATGTGCATAATCCTTTTAAAGATGATAACATCGAACAATTATTCATATATCGATAAAAGTATATAAAACACTTGATTATATCATACTAAAATATAATTTTGACAATAACAATGATTAATTTATCACTACGGTAATTATATCGGTTAATATTACTCTAAATTTTATCGGATTACCAGATCTTATTCTTGCCATTTCTTATACCTGTGAATAACATTGAATTATTTGAATATTATCGGTAAATATTACCTCAGTTTCACATCGCTAATCGCGAAGGACAAGAAGACGGAAGAACGGGACCTAACATGATCGGCCATCCGTGTCGATGTTGCAGGTATGGTTCCAGAATCGGCGCGCAAAGTTTCGCAAGCAAGAAAGACTGGCCCAACAAAAGTCCACGTCGCAGAGTGGCATCGGAGCCGACAGCGGCGCGTCCAGCCCCGTGACCGGCACCGTGAAGGCGGAGGGACGCTCGCCGAGGAGTCCGGCGACGCCGCCCGGTAGTTCGAACAGCGTGCTGTCGTCGAACGAGATCAAGCCGATCGCCAACCAGAGCCTGGTGAACGTGAAACACACCGCGGACGGCACCGGCGACGGCGGCTCGCCCAACGCGCGCGGAAGCAGCGGCGGCGGGAGCGGTAGCGGCACCTGGGGCTCCTGCAGTCCCAGGCCCTTCTCGGCGGCCCTGCCGCCCTACCTGCTGGACCCGCTGCCTTTGAAGACCGCGAATCTCTATTAAAGCCATCTCTCCTCGGCCTGGCCGTGTGTAAATACAGAAAGCCCAGATTTTTCTCTCCCGGGCCCCGGTTTCCCGCACGCGAATTGATCGGCATAGTTGAACCGTACGCGCACGGTATCCTCGAGAATTCGAGGGACCTCGATAGGAGGAACCGCGCCGTACATATTTTTGACAATGATACTTTAGACAGTCGGGAAAACGGGCAGCAGACGGATCGCTCGCTTGAAGGCAGCGTCTGTTGAGATACGTTTCGAGCTTTGTACGCACGCGAGACAGAGTGTCATTCGGATGACGCCAATCGAGACACTAGAATCAAGGTCGAGGTAAATATCATTTAGTAAATTTTGGTATTACTGTACAAAGAATGCTTAGAAAGAAGCCAATTGGATACTGTCCTCTTTAATTTTACGGAGAAGAAATAATTCTTGACACATCAAATTTCAAAGAGTTGTAGAATGTGCTATATTTGTTTTGCATTCCTGTGATAAGTGTAAAGTGTAGAAATATTTGAATTATAATTTTATACATATTTCCTTATTGTTTGCATCATTTTTTGTATCTTGTATTAATTTATATATATATTGGCGTATCTGTAGGCAGTAGTGTACATTACATATGAAATATTATTTCTGTTGTATCGATACAGATGTTGTATTGTATTGATTATCAAATTAATTTTAAAAGGAGGTATAACTTCGGAAATGCTGCTTTGAGATATCGCTATCTAGTTTGAAATCGAGACTATTGGTCCGAAATAATCGAAAGTGAAATGGATTTAAACTTGTATCAGATTCAAATTTCGATTAATATCGAGAATAATAGAGTTGCAAAGCATCTAGTTTAGATGTAAGTTTTAACGTTCCCGAGAAATATAAAAGCGAAGAGAAGAGATGGAATTATGAAATATTATTAAATATACCTAATAACTTGTGCAAATGTAAATAATTCCATAATTTTGAAAATTTAAATTGAAATGCAATACAGTTAATTTAAATATAATACCTCTTAAATTATAATTAAAGGATTAAGTAAAAGAAAACACATTCGTCTTGCGAATTTATTCCATATATTTTTAATTTATTGTATGTAGACAAATTATTTTCCCAGAAAAATTTCCAATGAAACAATAAATAATTTTAATGATGTTAATTCACTTGCGATATTAAATAGGAACATTGCGATCATTAATTCAAATGTAAGATATAATCTGAAAATAATCTATAAATATATATTATATCATTTTCATTTACTTACTCCTTTCATTATAATTATATGTGTAAGGGAGAAAACTAAGCTTTACATTCGAAGCAATAAAAACGCTCTATATAGAGCATCACTATAATTCTCGAGGGACGTTAAACTCTCGTTTCTCTTATGTGCTTCTCATCTCTATTATTTTTCGTCGATAATACCGAGGTAGAATTAACAAGAAACACAGCGTAGAATAGTATCTATAAAAATACTATTAATCACGCAAACATCACACACCGAAATTATCTGATATTTAATTTACCGAGATTGATTTACATACTGAAAATTATGTGATTATGTCGCGAAAATCTGCTGCGATATTTATTATGTAACAAGTAGCAGAAAACACACGTATACTTCCACAGTAAAATCCTTGATAGAAATATCGAGTGTACTTTGCGCTGATTTAATGCGATTCCAACGATGCTGTCGAATAGCTGATTGATTAAGCATTAACAACGATCAATAGACAGAAAAGGGAAGGAGCGAAATTTTACTTGACGTTTAAGTCAAAATGACTCTCGATATATGAAAACTCATTTTATGTCAAATGTTAAAACAGAAAAATTTAAAAAGTAACATTAATTTCTATTAATTAGTTCCAATCAATTCTAAATTAATTTCTAATTTAGAATTGATTGAATTTATAACAATTAATCAAAATGTTTTTACAAATATTTTCTATCTACATTTAAAATACCTTCATCTATAAAAGGATTATTGATAGTCTGATAGTCAAAGTCACATTAAGATTTTGTCAAAGTTCTGACTCTTAATTACATCAATTCTGTATATAATTTTATTGCAAAATTTTTGTTGCAACTTTGATTAGTTATCTTCAATTTGGCAAAAAAAAATGCAAATTTGTAATATACCAATTCTAGAAAGAAAGTCTTATATCGAGAATCGCCGTACAACGCAGGAGACGATAAATTCGCAAATCGGCGGAATTCCTCCTTAGAAAGTTCTTAAGATAAATACATACCGTCCTGTATGTCTCGTACCAAGAAGAGCGAGGGTACCTGTCTTATCACAATATACGATGGACAATTTCGGCGACGATGTGACTCGTTTATCGCGCGCCGATAACGAGTGCATCTTATTCTGCATATGTATAGTTTACGACTGAATCTATTTTATAGTGAGATGTATAAATGTACATTATTTAAGACAAAGGTATGTATAGTTCACTCAAAAGTATTTTTCTTTTCTTTTATGAGACTTTCGTCAAATCTGCCTTAATCTTTAGAGGACAGGTCATCGTATTTCAACTGTAGCCAAATGTAATTATCGATACTATTATAGCTAAATTAGATATTTGAAATCGTTATAATCGCTCTCTATTATAATTTCTCATAAAAAAATAATATTTCTTTTTATTTTTATACTTCAATATAATATATAGTTTCATAAAGTTATTAAAATATCGATTGAGGGAGATTAATGTCAGATGTTTTTAATATATAAAAACGAGAATTCATCGCTAGCGATTAATGCGATTAAAAATTTAGAAATTGCTGCAGAAAAAGATGATTTTGCACTTGCAGAGAAAAGCATTAGTCCTCTGAAGATTAACGGCAATAGCGTACGGAAATTTCTATCGTGTCCCGAGGCAATCCATATCCCAGTTCGATAACGAATGTGATTTTTTAACGAGACACTTTTACAATACTGCGTATTACTGGCGCGTAGCGAGCCGCACATTCGCTCGTCTCCGGGAAAGACGCGGATTATCGATTACACGCGACGGCGACGAGAGGGAAAAGCTCATCTCCGCAAGCCAGGAAGCGTTCGTGAACTCTGAACAGCTTCGTTGCTCCCGCCATTATTGTTAAGATTAACGAATGATAATTATCGATATGTGTGAACCGGAACTTGTACAGTTGTTGCTATAAATATATAAAATTAGTGTTTTACACCATATTCATACTTACTCTCTCCGTTCAAGAAACTCTTATAAATCATTGAATCACTCTTATAAATTTCATTGAAATATTACATTTAATTCAGATAACATAATAGCATTTATATTATTATCATTTATATTGCTTTCAAATTTTTAACATTTAATGTGAGACTTTTGCACATATATATATTTTATCATGTTCTATATCATGTTTTATAATCTCTTATTATATTATAAATATTATATTATAAATTGTTTTGTTATATTTAATGTGTTATTTTAATATAGGCATTATTACAAAATATTATACTTTAGAAAGAAAGCATGAAATGTGGTACGTATTACTTATATTTTTCCAGATATATATTAAATGTGAATCGATTACTTAGATTTGTTTGGATAAAGAAAAATGTTCAGAATTTCAAATATACATTTATTGAAAATTATAATTAAATTAGTTTCTCGTCTTAGTCGTCGGTTACATCGTTGCTGCTGGTCGTAGTCCGGTTATATAGACTTTTCATATTTACACGTTTATGTCGTCCGCGAATATTGATTGCAATCGATACCAGGTAATAAATTATTATAAATTCCGAAAATTATTGTTTTTAAAATAAAATTGATACAGAAGTAATACTCGTTCGTTTAAGAATTTTTACATCATTGCATAATTTGTCAATCGAAACAGTTAATAAGCTATACATCTTTAATTCATAGATGCATTCTGTTTCGCAGACAACGGCTAATAGTAAAAAACAAAAAAGAACAGAGACTTCTGTATACATATATATAATTCTGAGCAATATTAACGATCAAAAATGCTAACTTGAGCAATATCATATGTAAAAAATTTGATTGGCGATTTGCTTCATTAGCGAAGCGAAATACAACTTTTTATTCATTAAACATATCTTCATTTTGAATTTTTTAAATATAAAATACGCAAATCTTCAAATTCATATTTATTTCGACAAATTTGGCCAAAATCGATATTTTAATAACTATCATTTCGAATCAAACGGAAAGAAACAAAAAAAAATTCAGAAATTATTTAGAAAGATTCTATCTTTTTGTCCAAACGAGCTTAAAAATCTTTGAAAAGTTTGGCCAAAGAAAATGTAAATTCAAAGAAATTTAATTGCCCAGTATCATCATTACTTCTTTTTCAGAAATCTTGCGGATCGATTCTCGAGTCGTAATTCCCAATTTCTTGGTCAAGAATAAAGAAAAAATAAAAGAAAGTAACAAAAGTTTCGTATATTCGTAATAATTCATTATAAGATTAAATCGGCATATAGCGTTGTTCGGAGATTGGGCAGGCTGCTGCGAAAATCGCATGAAGAGCTGTTATCAAACATCACGTCAAAAATATTGGCATTTCAGTTTTGACTCTTGCAATTTACAGATTTTTCATGAAATCTTCATAGCAACCCACAAACCATCGTGACAATTAAGCGAGAATGGGATTTAATTGATTACAGGAATAAGTCCACACATATTGTTGATAATTTGGAATAAATTGATATGGCGATAGATCAACTCTAATGCGCTATAGCAACTTACATCGCAATGTTAATTCAATAATGACAACACTCGATCTCTTTTGTTACCAAATCCAAAGTTTTAAAATTAAAAATTAAATAAAAGAAATTTTATAATAGATAGATTTAAAAAGTAAACATACTTTTTTTTAAATAAATCTATTATATAATCAATGTATTCATATATATATATATATATATATATATATATATATATATATTAATAATGATATGATTCCTGCAGATAGATATACACACATACACATTTTCCTCTCTTCGAATGAAATATGAAATTTTAACATTAAAAAGATAGGAAGAGAGATAAAATATTTATAAACTTAAAAAGAATATATATATATATATATATATATATATATATATATATATATATTCTTATATCTTCTTATCTTTTTAATGTTAAAATTTCATATTTCATTCGAAGAGAGGAAAATGTGTATGTGTGTATATATGTCTGCAGGAATCATATTATTATTAAAATGACATTCAATTCTTTTCCTTGATTCATATATCACAGATAGAAATTATTATCCAATAAATAATTTATTTATAATATAATCAATGTGTGCAATATATTATATCGCGATAACATCAACAATCTGCAGTGGCTTATCGTTTACGCTCAATTATGAGCTCACGTCACCATTCTTCGCATTTCATCGATCGCGTTCGCAATAATGAAAGCATAGTCATCGAAATCATCGAATCGTCGAAAGAAAAGGAGAAATCGAAATTCCCGGAGCAGCGCGCGTTCGTCTGTTGTCGAAGATACACAGTCAAAGACCTTCCTATATATAAATATATATATAAATATATATATATATATATTTATATATATGTATTTACATTAATATATATGACTGGATGCGAGGATTCTCCTCAAACGGTATGTAGGGGTGCTGGTGACAATTAGGCCATCGTGAGGGTGCCCGCGCCTATTCCGAAGCCCACACCTTTGGGCCCAAATTTCCGGCCATAACAGCCGCGGCAGTAGATATCCCCATCCGGACCGTCGTTTAGATTCGTCGAATCCAAGGAACGATGGCACTCGCCGCAACTGAAGCATCGCTTATGCCATACGCGATTCTTCGAGATCATCTGCTCGGCGGCGTACACCGGATAGCCGCAGCGTGAGCAGCCATTTCCGTCATTTCGCTTCTGACCGACTTGGGGTTTAGCATCGATGCTGCGAAAAAAAAATCAATACCTAAGAATCTAGGATGGATCGTGTAAAGAAATCGGAAGCTGATTTGATTCGAGGAAGATAGCCAGAAGAAATTACGCTACATGTTTTCATTCGTCTCGAAATTATGTACGTATATTTACATATATTTATATCTTAAAGAAATATTTCTCAAAGTTGAAAAAAATTTTGATTTATTTATGTTTCATATGTGTCGGATATTGCCGAAAAATTGAAAAACAGTAGATATTTCTTTTTTTTTTAAAGAACTTTAAAAAAACTTTAAATGTATAATATTTCTTAATGTTTTTAAATTGTATTATCTAAAATTAAAAAAGAAACTGAGATTATAGATAAATAGGGATGTTTTATTTATTTTATTTTTTCATCAATTCCTAATAGATTGATAAAAATCTACTCTATTATTATTAAAATTTGTTATTATTATGATAGTACAAAATAAATAGCTTTTATTCAAATTTCCATTAAGAAAAAATATTTCTCAAATTTATTTTTAAAAATATATTCTTTCATTTATTGAAATTTCTATACTCTTTTAAATATGTCGATTTATATAAGAAAATTTGATATAATTTATAGCAATTTATATTTAATTACTATTACTTTATAAATTAAATACAAATTGCTATAAATTATATCAAATTTTCTTTTCCTAAGATATGCTTGTGAATTTACATTACTGTGTTATATAAATCGACATGCTATATTTTACACGTTTTATTTATTTTTTTCAATATAATTATTCAGATTAAGAATTATAATCAAGTAGATCCAGTATTAAAATAGTTATCATTAAAATTTTCTTGAAAATAAACTTTTCATTATAATATTTTTCGCTATATTTCAGAAACTCCCGAGGACGGAATTGTGAAATGTACTTACTATGAGGGAGCATGATCTCCGTTTGTCGAGACGAGAGTCGGCTTGTGGCCGAACCCGAAACCTTTGGGCCCGAAGAGTTTTCCGTAACACGCGCGACAATGAATTTCTTTATCGGGACCATCGCATGCCAGCATAGAGTCCAAGGGCCGATGACACTCGGCACAATTGAAGCACTTCTTGTGCCACATGGTGCCCTTGGCAAGCTGTTGTTCTGCAGCAAACACCATGCCACCACAACGGGGACAACCCTGCCCAGCTGGCGCCTTAATCGAGGTCGTATCAGGATTGTAGAAAGGTCGATTGGCTGAAATTTCTTCCTCCCTGCGGATAATTACGTAATCATATCAATAGTTCTCATCAATTGATATTTAGTTTTCTTATTTAAGCTTAATCCACACACTTCATTTGAATTATTTTATTTTATTTAAAAAGCATACAGTAAAATAATCAATTAAAAATAAATATATATTTTGTTTAGAAATTTTCAAAGTATAGTCTTGAAATTGTATTTTTTTATTGTGTCAAGTTTATTTTTTGAAATTTAACAATTTTAGTTTTTACCGTTTTTATCTTTTACGCACACGCACACACACACACTGTCGGGTTTTCTATATCTATATCTAATTTATTTAGATTATACGTATACTTATATGTATGTGCATGCCGTAATATATTTTTCAATATAATATTGTTTTAAATTTTCTTTTTTATTTTTAATAAACTATATTAGAAATTGGTATAGACTCCCCTCACATTAATATAACAGGATCGTTCTGTACATGTTCTATATATGTATGTGAAATCAATATTTTTACAAATTTTCCTAGTAAATTTCACAAAAGTTTATCGTAACTTTAACAAAAACTATTACCATTTTTAACTTCTTTTAACAATATTATATATTGTTAAAAACAATCATGAATTAGCGAAGTTATGGAATCTTTTGAAATCTTCGGGAGACTTTCTCATTCAACGCACATTTATAGAAACCCGGCAGAGCTCGGTTACATAAGTTGAGTTATATTTATAGTCACACGTAAAAACAGAGTTACAAATATAAAGTCTTAGATTCGGCATCGGGCACGACTTACGTGAGCCCGTCGGTCTGGAGGAATCCCGAGCCGCATGCGAATCCGTATCCGTGCGGTCCCCACTTCTTCCCATAACAGGTCTTGCAATAAACGTCCCGGTCCGGGCCATCGCAGGCGATGATCGAGTCCAGGGTTTTGGTGCAATCGTGACACTTGTAGCATTTTCGGTGCCATTCACGACCCTTGGCGAGCACCTGCTCGGCGGCGAAGACGACGCCACCGCAACGAGGACAGCCCTTGCCTGGCGGGGCCTTGATTATCGCGGTGTCGATCACGGTGGTGCGAGGAGCCGCATCGCTGCGTAAAGAGTCACTCGCGTTATTATTCTCATTTGGCAATCGTATGTATCGAATCGTATAGATTAGGAAAAGGCGATTGATCTCTCTGTCCAATTATCTCTAGTATATTGGATCAGGTATTTGGAATTCATGCTAGGACAACGGAAGCCACTCACAATCGGATTTTCCGAAGAGTATGATCTCAATTCGCCTCGCTTTTCCTATCTCTACGACTTGTTCGTGCAGTCAGAAAAAACAAAATTGCATGCGAATGACGGGGCGATTGATCGATACTAATCGCTTGTTAAGGCACGCAAAAGAGATATTAAAGTTTTTTTCATGTTTTATTATTTTTGCTATTTTCATTATTAAAAAGATACACAAACTTGCATTTCTCATTAAGAAGATATATATCTATCATTAAAATTAGATTATAAAAGAGAATTATTTTATATATACTGTATAATATTGAAAATGGAATACAAAAATCATTCATAAGATACGTAAAATAAACAATTCGGTATTGAATAATTCTATAATTATAAAAATTACAATATAATATTTTGTATTTCTACGTACAAAACGAATTACAATTATAAAAATATAATTATTGAAAATCAAATTTTCTTTTGGCCTCAACATACGATTACGAAATTTTTATCTCAAGATGTCTCGAATAAATTATACATCACACATCTAATTTCTTATTTAGTTAGTAAAAGAAAAATGTGAGAGAATCGTTAATTTACACATGTAGTGATATGATATCTAGTTGCAGAAGGTTATATTAGTAACGATTCTACATGAATTTCAGATTCGCTTTAATCGTCGATCGTCATAAGTACATGCATAAGATCCTACAGACCGTGAAGCAACAGGAATGTCGAATGTATATGGAAGAGTCTGTGACGTACTAACTGAACGCGTAAGTACTTTAAACGTGAATTTTTTTGAAATCGATGGCCATTAAAAAATGCTTGATAAGAAACACTCGATATTCCGATACGATCAGCTGATTCGTGATGCCAAGGTGAGTAATAGCGCAAAGCGTTAAGGCGTCGGTTTATATGTATGTATATATGTATATATACATATTGTATGTACACGGACACACACAAATGCACGCGTGTACAGAGTGTTCCGGAGAAGGCACGTGCTAGTGACAATCTTTCTGTATTCTTCGAGAAAATCGAAGCCGATGTTTGCTCAGCGAAAATTCAATTCTTAAATTTATCTTTTATTTATTATTTTTGTGATATATTATTATATTCAAAATATATAAATTGTGTTTTTAATGTTTTATTTCTATTAAAAAAAGGATTTCTGTGAATTTAAGGCAAATTTCGCAATATAAGAAAATAATGGAAAGAGCTTTCTCGATTAAAATGTAAGTCACACACACATATATATATATATATATATATATATATATATATATATATATTGGAGAGAGCATAATCATATTTGCAAAAATATGATTAACTCATTCGGGAGAAATCGTACAAATTGTATTAAATTACAGATATATTTTAAGATTAACTCGAAATCTCGCTCTTTCTCTCTCTTTCTCTCTTTATTTTTCATATTCTTAATTGTAAAATTTATTTTAAATTAACATTCCCCATGAAATTCCTTGTTATATTCCTTGGAAAAATTTACCGTTTAATAGCGGAAAATAGTATTGTGCCATTGAAAGTATTTGCTTTTGAAATTTAATTCAATTTTGAATTAACATTATATTTTATTTCAGAATATTTCTTATTTTCATACGAAAAATGCCTTGGGGCAAAAATAATCAATATTCTTCTGTTATTCATTTACAAAGAGATGTCATGAAGATATAGAACATTTGTTTATTCAATTGCAAATGCTTTTTTTTAAATACAATGATTGACTCGTTTCTCAGGACAAACTGCAAATGCCAAGAATAAATCTGATGAATTTTTCGCTAACACAAAATTGGCACTAAATTGCTCAAAGGTAAAGCTGTCGCTGCTCGCGCGCTCCGGGCATCCTGTTTACGCGCGCGAAATAATCGAGATGGCATAATTAAGGGGGGCGCGTACCCCTCGTCCTCAATATCGCACTGCAATCCGTTCCACATAATCCCGGCGTGGCCGACACCCCGCGGACCGAATTTCTTCGGATAGCAAGCTGTTAAGCAGACAAGCGCATCATATATAGTGAAAGTGTAGAAGCCGAGGCGGGATTTTTCTCTCTCGCGTGCTTCCCGTCTCAGTCCCGATTCTGAAAACCCACCCATTGGCATAGCAGTCGCTCTGCAGGGCGCCGCCACCCTGGCCGTAGCCATAACCCTTCGGCCCGAATCTCTTTCCATAGCATACTGCAGACAATATCGATTAAAGATTTCACGTCGCCTAACGTTATCTCGTGATAATTAGCTGCGACGAAGATATAATCGTACAGGTACGCTGATGCGATCTTATTCGGATTCTGTTTTATATTATCATAATTTTTATCGAATCCTTTATCGAATTTTAATAAATAAATTGTATATATTTCTAGAATATTCTACAGTTTCCGAAAGATATATTTTTACATAAGTAAATATATTACATCTATTAAAATTGTATATGTATCTCAAATTTATATAAGATGTTTTAGCGCGTTTCATTTAATATCTTTTTCAATACATACATAAAGAAAAAATACTGCTTTCAATTTTTTAATTTCACAATATTTAAAAATTAATTAGTTCCTTTACTAAAACTTTGGCACAGTTTGTTAAAAAAAATCTTATTTTTCAGTGTTACTAATTTGAACAATATTTTCACGCTTATAATTTAAAAATATTTGTATAATAATTTAATTATAAATTATTTGTGTATGTGAATTAAATTAATGTGTGCTATGTTGCGTTGCATATTCTGTACATTATATTTTCGCACATACGATCGTACCGTGTTCTCACCTTTGCAATAGATGTCCTTGTCAGGACCTTCACAGCAGTTGATGGAATCTAATCTTTTGGAGCAGTTGGCACACTTAAAGCATTCCTTGTGCCATTGCTGCACGAAACACAAAGGGTAGGTTAGTCACTAAAAATTTCAGGAAGAGGCAAAAGTGCTCTTTTAAATTATATCTTTTTTTTATCGGTATCTTTCAGAGGCGCAGACATTAAAAGCGCTTCTTGGAGTCCGCCAAGATTTATTTCAAAATTTACGACAGCAGCGACAGATAATGCTGCGTAAATTTTTATTCATTTCATTATTTTTAGAAAGATTATAATATTTATATATATTACTCTCTAATGACTATATTTTCATAAAATTTATAAAAATTGAAAGACGTTTACGAAATTTACTTCAAATATTCAATATACAATATTTTATAATTAATTCTTAAATTAAAATTGTACTAAAATGATATCTTTCCTTTATATTTTGATCTTTAATATTTATATTATTTCTTGCAGTATAGTCATTCTCTCTGAGAAACGCTCTATACTAGTCTATCTATCATAATTGTCAAAATTTGCGACATAGAACGGATAAACAGACATTCACGTCTACAACGTTGATGAGACAAGAAGTAGCAAAATAATTGACGATTACGATCCTTCCTCTCCAGCCCTTGTATGTTCGGGGGCTGTCTCCTGGCGGCATGGGAAGAATTACAAATTAGTTTTAATGGGCAACAATAACAAGAACGAACGAGTCAGAATGAAAACAGACGGAGATGAACAGAGACAGATAAACAAATACATTCTAGATAGTGATCGTTCAACGTATCAGAACACAAAGAACTGTCAGTATGGATGTCTGTGCAACAAATCGAAAAAGAATCGAGGACTGGCGGAAGCCGTAAAGGAGATTATTTAGATTCTTTAGATGAAAGATACCTCGACAGTATATCTCGCGGTCGGGACCATCGCAATGAAGCGTCGAGTCCAGATTTCGACGACACATTTTGCACTTGAAGCACATTTTATGGTAAGCCTATTACAAGAATGATGATTGACCAAACGACGATTTAATAGAACGACGAGACGCTTGTCGTCGATGCTGTTCTTGGTGCCGCGACGAATCGTCGGGTATACCTTTCCGACTTTGAGAAATTTTTATTTTTAAGTTTTACGTTTAATATATTTCCTTTTCTCGATAAATCCTTGTTTTATATATATATATATATATATATATATATATATATATCAATAATCAAAGATTTCAAACTAGATGCTGCATCCGCATCCTGGTATAAGATCGATCGTTTATCGTCTCAAGAGAAACAAAATGATATGAATAATATTTTATAATAAATTATCGAGACCTATAAATGTTATTGCAATTAGCAGGCTATATATTATTCCATTATATAAATATTGCATTTATTGAGAGATAAATTATATGAGAGATAAAAGAGAATCATATTTATTTTAGTAACAATAATTCTCTCTCTGATAAATGTAACCTTTCTTATTAATTTTATTTATTAATTTTATTTATTAATTTTATTTACGTATTTATATATATATATATATATATATATATATATATAAATTTTACTAAAATAATAACACTTTAATAATTTTTTGATATATGTGAAAATGCAACATATATTTTTTTAATAAATCCAATCAGTTAAGTTAAAAATTGAATTCAATTTAAGATATATTTGAAAGATAATATAATTTTAATTTGCATCTCTTATTATGCAAGAATTATAATTTTTTTCAGTCATTTTTCAAATTCTATCATAAATGCATATTTTACACGTATATCTACCTTATGAAAATAATTTACTGTAATATTCCATATAATTTTTAATTTTTTATTGCAATCCTATAATGTGCTCTTTTTATCCAATGAAAGGAAATTAATAAGAACTAAGTAATCGAATTCTTGCGTGAAGAAACGATTGCAACGATATGTCGATGAGTCACGAACGATGAGAGAAATGGATCGATGCCGTTTTCGCGCGCGAATTATCGCTGGACCAGATTGTCGGTCGGGCAATTAGCCTCCGTTTCTCTGATTCTGAACGGCGCTTCTTCTGGTAGCGAGCCATTTTATCGCTAGGTATCGGGCCATCTAAGATTGACCGGCCAGTTGGTGCATCGCCAAAGATGTTCTCTGACGAAACCACCGAGAAAGTTACTGGGCTTAGCATCAAGAAGAGACAAGTTCTCCTCTTCTTCTCCCTCTTCTTCTTTTACTCCTCTCTACACCCTCGTTCTCTCTCTCTCTCTCTTTCCTCCCACTACTATTTTTTTCCTCGCATTGTTATGAAATGGAGATTGGATATGATTATGAGAACATGGCGCATTACCACGCGTCGCGCGCCAAATTTAGACGCGTGGCAAAAGCCGCGGGTGGTTTTGTAACTCGTGGCGCATTTTTATCGCGACGCGGTTCCATCCAGATTTTCCGAAATACGCGTGAGTAAGCGCGACGAAGAGGACGCCGATTGCGTCAATCTGTCTGTCGCCGCGTCAGCGGCTGATTTTATTGCTCCGTGCTAAATCGCGCCGCACGTTGCCCCCGCGAGCCGCCCTCGCCCGCGGAAATATCCGCGGTCCAGATTCGAGACCGGCCCACTCATAGATATCGCGTACCTAGAATAATAAGGTCGACTCGAGGAATATATGGAGGATTATTTTTAGCTCTCATCTGCCAATTTAAAACTAGATGTAAGATCAGTTGAAAACAAAAGAAAAGTGAAAAATTAAAGATTTGATTCTTGCAATTTTCCAATATGAGTTAAAAGCTGAAGAAATTTTTCCAACTATTTATTATTCTAGATCTAGAATATTTGCGCACTGTGTAAAATCAATTTACAGATCATCTCGAAAGTTATATTCACGATGTTTTTAAATGAAATTACTATTATCACCGAAAACCAGTGAATAATCACTAAATATCTGAATTATAAATGTATGTATAACTATAAATCAGTAAAATCTCTTTTAAAAAAATATGTTAATAATAATCTCTGTTTTAATCAATAATATTTTAAAATCATATGTTTTATATATATAAGATAAAAAACATAGCAATATATTTTGTTCAAGAAATATCTAAGTTTTTTAACCAAGAGTTTTGGTTACACTTTTTGCTTATCAAATCTGAAAATCACATCTAAAATAATGTAATACGTATATAATTCTGAATTAAAAAAAAATATTAATTATAAATATTAATTATATATGTTTAATTCTCTTGATGTGTGTATAAAATTTCTCTGAGAAAATAGCAATCTATAATAAATAACTACATCTTGCAAAGATGTTTAATTATTACTAATTGTTCAGTAAAATTTTACCTTACAGTAAAATTCTACCCTAATTAATGGAACAATAAGAAGCAAGATATGGTTTTATTTTGATACATCTTACGTCGTTTTAATCAATAATATTTTCACTGATTCAATTTAAAAAATTATCTCCTTAATTATGTAGGTAAAACCTTGATAGTATTTTATATTAAAAGAATCTTAACACACACACAAGAGCAATTGACTAAATTATATATTTATTTAATAAGTATAAGATTCTTTATTCTTTAAAACGCGAGCGGACGATCTGTCGAAGCACCAAGGTGAAGCGAGAGATTTATTATTGTGTGTGCGTTTAACTCTAAATGCAGCCGTATAATTACTGTCACGTTACTAGCTTTCAAATTATTTTGATATTAAAAGAATAATGCGATGATTAATAAAAAGATATATTATTTTTTATCAATAATTTAATCTTTAATTGCAATTGTTCTCTTCGATATACCTAATTTTGCATTTAGTGTTAAATACACGCCATGTATGTATCCTTTGAAATACTCACCCTTCCTCGGGCCAACATTTGCTCGGCGGCATAGACATACCCTCCGCAGCGAGGACATCCCTCTCCTTCAGGTGCTTTCGCGATAGCTCGTGGTTCGAGAGTGGCGTTGGAACCCCGCGATAATTCACCCCTAAAAAATCCATGCGTGTTAAAGTCCGTCAGTCAAAGGTGTACATATAATGTAAGGTTCAGAGATAAAACGAATCACAACTTATTTAATTTTTTATACATTATATATATATATATATATATATATATATATATATATGCAATAAAATTTTCACAAAATAGCATTTTATGATTTATTAACGTTGACGTTTTATAAATGTTCACTGATATTAGTTTTATCTTTGAATCCCATAATACAATATCCAAGTGTCGGATCAAGCATTGAACGTGGAAGCTATCAAAAATACGAGCACACACAGATAGAGAAATCACTGTGAAAGAAGTGAAATTGATGGTTCACGCATGACATATATATTTGATATAATATAAATAGCTATAATATAAGGAGAAGTAAATTTTATGGAATAATTAATTTTAGGATTTAATCTCAAACAATTTCGATAAAGTATTTTAAAAATCGAAATATATGTAGTATAACACACATTCAAAAAATTCATTTGAAAATCTAAAGCATGTTTTTCTCTTTGGAAATCGATTGATTGAAAACATATTATATAGAGATGTATACAATAGAAAAGAAAATCAAGCATTATACAAGAAGAAAATTGAAACAGAAAAGAACTGATGCCATGTACAAGATAGTTTTGAAATATATATTTACAACTAAGAGAAAAGGTGTTCTACTAAAAAAACAGTAAGAAAATATAATCGTCAAATACTTGTAAGGTTTAGAGAGATTGATAGTTGCAGGAATATCAGAATCTATATCCTAGTAACATATCTGCGAAATATTTTGTGGAGAGGATTTGTGATGGCATAAAAGTACATCAAAAAATTATTAAAATATACACGACGATCCATCAATTCCACATCTAAATGTTACTAATCTACAAAAATCGAACAAAAATAAATAGCACTATCAAGCTCACAAAAGACATCCGACGTACAGAATCAGAATTCTTCGAATAACCTATTGTAAAAAAAGAAGTCAAAATGATGCTGTATTATAGCATTGGCTTGTCATAATGAGTGAATAAATTACGTGCATGATATTTATATGAAAAGAATGTTTATTATCTATTATTATTTAAATTTTCATCTATTAATTAAATTTTTTAAGTATTATCAATAATTATTTTACAAGTTATTTGTTTTTAGTCGACAACATTTTGAATACAATTCTATTCAATATGCATAAAATATATATATATATATATATATATATATATATATATTGATCTCTCAAATTTATTTCTTTTAAATTATAAAACAAATTAAAAAAGATTCTAGATAATGTCAAAACTTTATTGTTAGTTTTGATTTCATGTCAGCAATTCTTTCTTGTGTGCATAATATTTCTCATTCGAAGAGCATCAAAGAAACTTTCGTCGGATGTGATGATCAGGAAATAAGATAGACACAAATATATCAAATAATATTATTAGTTTGTGTTAGGCGTGTGTTAGTCAATGTGTTAGCGTAATTTTTCCCCTTTGCAACCACGGCACGTGGCTTCCGCCGAGCCCCGAGAGAGGAGAGCCGAGAAGCAAATCGTAATACGGTACAGTCGTACAGCGAGAAAGATGCAAAAGAAAGAAAGAAAGAAAGAAAAACGGAGAGAAAAGGATAAAGAGAAGGGATAAAGAAATAGAAGAATATATAAGTGCTGTGAAATATATATTGGATGCAATGTGGAGCCTGTGCGTGCGCACGCACACATTCGTACCGTGAGGTGGAATATCATCGACACAGTGAGGTGACACCGATCGTGTGTGTTGTCTTTCTTATAGTGTGACAATTGCGCCGTTGAGATAGAGGTTTTATATTACGGTATAGTGACGCGCGCGCGCATATGTGTATGGCAAAAAAAGCGCAAACGAAAAGCCAAGTGAACAAGCCAAGTATTCTCCATTACTTTGTCTCATTGTCAGACTTAAGACGAATGTATATGTCTCAAAAATTTCAAATATGTTACAATAATATTGTTTCTTAAGAGATAAATATATAGCCAATTTCAGATGGTGCGCGCTTTCTTTTTCTATTAGTTTCTTGCTCAATTCGCGATCGATTTTTCAGCACATATTTCAATGATGTATCACCTTTTTCTCGTTAATCGAAAGATGAATAATAAAATTTAATTTAATTTATAAGAGTTCTTAAACTTTTTTAATAATTCTCTATGTGCCACTTAAAATTTTTCATGAAAAATAATCAACTCTATAAAATATAGTAAAAAGATAGTGCGCAGGGAATCTGAGAAGTCCTATTCAGAGACAAAGTGCTCCAACAAGTGCGTCTGCACTAAATTATAAACTACAGCCTACAAAAACATAACCGACAAATGTCAAGGTTTATCTCAATGGCGTTGTCATCGCAACATTGTCTTTACTTCGCGAAAAGAACGTCGTTAAAAGATCGCCATTACCTCATTATATCGATATAATACGCGAATACACTAACACGCACTCGGGCACGCACGCACGTACACGCACGCACGCGCCAGCACCCACGCTATAGTTAAGGTGTTAGCGAGATTATAGGATTAGAAGTGGTGCGAGAGGCCATGCGGGAGAGCTACGTATATATGTAAGCTACCAAAAAGAAAATGAAGCTGCTCTGTCACGCGGCGAAAAAAGAAAAAAAGAAGAGAGATAGCGAGAGAAAAAGAGATAGCGAGATAGAAAGAGAGAGAGAGAGAGACAGAGGCGCAATTTGACTCGCGCGATGCTCACCATTCTCGTACTCGGTATTTTCTCTTTATCACGCAGCTCATACTATGTGATAAAGTGACAACGGTATATCGTTCAATGGTTGCCTCCGGTTGGCTCGTGTTCGGCGGGGCTGGCGGGAGCGGGGTGTGTCGTGTGTTTCTTTACTTTTTTGCATCTTTTTTCGTACTTTTGTTTTTTTTTTTTTTTCGTTTTCGTACACGCTTCGTTCCCTTTCTTGGCGAAAGAGAGAGGGGTACGAAGGGCCGAAGATGCGAGTTTCGTACGCAAAGGCTCGAAGTCACAGACAAAGAAGGTACGTGCAGCGATAGTGCTCGTTTCAACGGTACACGGCACTCTACTTTCATGGATTCACGTAAATAGAGTCGCGAGTCGTTTAATCTCAGTCAAAGTTACAGTCCCCAGTTGTGAAAATGGTATGATTTTTAATGGATCTCGATGTTACAGTCTCGTACGAAGATCATGTTTACATTTATTCGTAATAAAGGAATCGCGTCTTTTCCATGTCTATGACATACATAATTTAATACTAATCGATTTCGATATCTCATTGTAGAATTTAAAGTAAAATCTCGTAAATTTGCATTTGTTACTTCTGCAACTTTGACCGTAACATCAACTTCGCGAATCTACTTCGCGTTTTTGAAAATTACGCTCGTTATGCACGCCATTCGTGCATTCATCTATTTACACACTGAAAGATAAGGGAAAAAATTCATGTGTTATTCGTTAATAAAAGACACGCTTGGTTGTTTTGTTTCCAGTTTTATCTTTCCCTTTTTTCCACTTTTAATGGCACTTATTACAGATGGTACAAATGATCCTATAAACTAGCTCATGTATTTCATAAAAGAAAAAAAGTACAGAAGAAAAAAGGAAAGAGAATAAAAGAAAATAAAAAGATAACAATTCGGTCAATCGTGTGCGATGACGGCAGTCGGTCGCACGAGGAGACGGTGAGGAACGAACTTTTGAGGAAAAGAAAAGGATTGAACGTGGACTTGACTAAATTATACCGAATGTCGATGACACGAAGAAAAGACAATGAAAGGACAATGTAAGAGTCCCATGAGGGAGACAAAGAGACGAGGTAATATGCTCGCCTATACTACGGTGATGATATAGACTCCATAAAGGTGAGAATAGAACAGTCTGATCCTATTGGACCGTCTAGATTTCACTATCGGGACACAAAGGATCTAATTTCACGATCTAATTTCACGAGGAAGATAAAGAAAAACCAAATTGAATTAGATTATCTCTTTGTCATACTTCGAGAATTCAGGAGGAAAAAAACAGGAAGGAGGGACGCGGTTTTTTCACTGTATCGGACACGCTGTACACGTATACGTAGATGCTCTTCGGCTTTCTGGTATAGACTGCACAGACAATGGCTTCTTCCAAGTTGCTGGAGATTGAAGAGAAGGATCATGATGTTTGATCATGGGCGTTCACGACGGTGTTTGATCGGTGACTTTTAATTTCACGCACGTGGAAAAGATAGGACAGATACGCTTCCGATACAGGACCATGTTGTAGAGTACACTACTTAGGAATAAGGAAAGAAGAGGGTACCGGGATTGAGGTTGCGCGACAGCGGATGCACTCACTCGCTCTTCGCTTGTAGATGCTCTCCTTGGTCCATGGACAGGCAGCCAGCTCCGCCACCGAATCCATAACCTTTAGGACCGAATTTGCGAGCGTGGCAGACTTTACAAAACAGCTCGCCCTCGTGCTCGGAGCAATTTGTCGAGTCGAGCAGTTTGCCGCAAAGACCTGCAACACACGGTCATCGTACATCATTGAAAATTATGGCATTTCCTGCTGTGAGTATACCCGAGTCTGATGGCACGATGTTAAGTATCCGTAAACTATATTATTTTAAGATTCGATTTGAAAAACATTTCATTTATATTCCTCTTCAATGATTTTTTAAGTATATATTTCGAATATAAGTCTATAATTTAATTATATATTTCAATTACATTTTATTATTAAGGAATAGTCTCCCCTCTCAAATATGCCATTATCATGATTATTTTTTATAAAAAGATATGCAATGTAGGTGTTTTATACATACATATTTTTTACGTGCAATGATATGCAATACGTGTCTTCAAGACACGATGTTGATTACGATTGTTATAAATTATTGGCCATTGCACCCAAAATCATTATCGGTTAATTGTCAATTGATCTTTGGCCAATATACAGATTCAATTATAGTCGTGACAAATTATCCAGGTACAAAATTTATTTTAGATTAGTCCAAGAATAAGAAACTCGATAATATCTCTTCCGTAATGAAAATAATCGGCCACATTTTTCATAGAACACTTCTCACAAAAAAGTTTACCATTAAATATTCACCATGTATAAGCAAATAAATTTTACAAAATAAACTTTTTTTATGATTCTTATATTAATATAATTATTTTTATTACAGATGAAATTTGAAAATGTTCTTAAACTTATTAAAGTTATATTTATTTAAATGATTATTTAAAAAGCGACTATCTGACACTGATAATTTGTATTATTTTTATCATAAAAAATTGTAATTATCAGAAACATGTCCTTTCATAAACTACAAGTTTGTAATAAATAAAATTTTATGAAAACGATTGTAATAAAATATGTAATAAAATTATAATAAATTAGCTCTTTTTGTTCTCTCCACATAAAATAAGATATTATTTATGTTAAAAATTGCAATTTAACATTAAACTATAATATAGTAGTATTCCAGTCTTTCTCCCTCCCCCCCCCGCAAGAGAAAATATAAAACTATAACAGAATATGTTTTTAATATCTTATAAGTATAAATAGGTAATACAATTTTTTCATATACATATCTTCTTTCCTTCAATTTTTAAATTGCAAAATGACACTGGTGTTGTTCTAATTTTAAGATATCAATTTATTATGCGCCAAAGAAAGTACTCATCCACTTTATTTCCAATTTACAAGATTATGTTTGTTTACTCACCGCACTTGAAGCACATTTTGTGCCATTTTAGTCCACCGGCAACTCGCTCTTCTGCAGCGTAAACAGATTTGCCACATTTAGGGCATTTTGGATGTTCCACAGGCTTGAAAGGCATTTTTACACTAAACAAAAAAAAAGATAATTTATCGTCCGTGTGTTACTTTATTGCGTTTAATTATATTTGTCATAAAATTATTCATTGATAAAAGTCGAAAAATTATTTCTGTCAATCATTTTTTGATGACATGTAACTTCAAAATTAAAAGTGTATTAATTTTTAATGTCACCTCTACATGTTAGAAATATATATATACATATAATCTTTAGTCTTTAGTCTTTAAAAAAGATTTCATTGAGTGTATTAAAACAAAACTACTGCAATGCAATCGCGAGGTGTATTTTTATTTTAATCGCGAGGTGTATTTTTATTTTAAAAATCCGTAATTTCAAAATTCAAAATCCACGAAAACTAAACCCAGTGTCTTTATTAATATCGAGGGGAATCATCGTCGGTACGGTAACCCATCTCGATTACCTAACTGGCCGTTATGAGGACGTAAACAATCCGCGTTTCCGTCTGACTCGTCGGCAACGGATTCTATTTCTGTGGTCAGCTAAAACGTGCGCACGATCGAGCAAGTGGAAGAACGGGGGCGAAGAAAAGGAGAAGCGAAGTATTTCGCACACAACAATCAGGGCGTGGAATAGTAGCATCTAGCAAATAAGGACGACTATTTTCCTGTATAGGAAACGCATGATATCGTGGTGTTTTTTATTTAGTATAAAGGAGAATTTTCTTAATATTAGAAGTATATTAATAAGTATATTATATATAAAGAAAATAATGATGACTTAAATGATCAAATAATCTTGATTTATAAATAGTAAGAGATTAATGAATTTTAGTATAATAAATTAGGATGTTAAAATGTATATAAGATTAATATATATAAGGAATACATAATTTATAAATATTTATCTCAGATTGTTTTCAAACAAACATGTTGCTATTTTAATGTATAGAATAAAAAATCTTATATGAATCATACAAGACGTAATATTTATTCAAATGAGATATGTCAAAAAAAGCAAAATTATTTGTGCATATTTAAAAATTCACACACACAAAGATATCTTTTAACTTTAAAAGATAACTTTCTTTCTCTCTCTTTCTTTTTCTACACATGTATAATAATTGTAAGAAAATAGCATCATATATGATTATCATGATAAATATTCATTATTTAACTTTGGAAATGACTTAAATTGTGTAATATGAAAAGTTTCTGGTTATTTAAAATATATAGATATTTATGCCGTTATTATTGTCGGAAACACAAAGACAGATTACGATAACTGATATACATATTACAATAATATGGGGATGATGTCTGGCTCGAAAGTTAGTGGGTGTGCATAGTAATGCTTGGCAACATTGATAGTTGATTGTACATCTCTCCATTATCATAATATCTCATTTTAATAATATACAAAATAAATAATTAGTAAATAAAAATAGTAAATAAAAGCAATAAGGAAACATAACAATGTGATATACTTGATATGATATTATATGGCATAAATATTCCACAGAAATAATAAATGAAACGGAAACAATAAAAATTAGAAGATGTATAAATAATATAAATCAAATATTAGAGCTGATTTTAGATATTATTATATTATTTATGATAATGATAAAAGATATATATGTCTTTCTACAAATCCTATATCATATAATTTGATAAAGGATCTGGTTTCCGATTCTCATATTTCTTTGTTATATGGCAGTTTATTTTGGCCAAGCTATTCTTGTCATTGTAGCTATTATATTACGCATTATATCGCCTACCACTTTTGTATTTACTGTATAAATTAAAAATTTTTAGGTTTATAAAATATCGTTGTTTATATAATGTGATGATAAGTGTATTAGAAAATAAGTAGTAGTTTAGTCTATCATTATATTAGATGTTACTGCTAGACATTTTAATATTTTTTTAATAATAAAGGGAAAATAGATTTATATATATATGCTATAAAATTTATTTTAGAAGATATTTTAATATTATCTTTATTTTTTTCTATCTGCAGATTTCGTAAAATTTGCAATATTATTACTGTATATATTTTATATTGTATATTAATTTTCAGTCAAGCATATTTTAGTTGTATGTAAAATAATAAAATAATAAAAATAAATAAACAATACGTAAAAATAAGCCTAAGAAAGGGTATTAGCTTATTTTTACAGGAAATATACACCATTGTAACGATTAAAACTATTCGACATAGATACGCTCTGTTATTACAGTAGTAGCAGACAGCAACGTATGGCACGCTAGTAGTAGTAACAGCGTTAACAGCGGCATAGGCAGTGGTAACAGACAGCGCGCGCAGGAAACAGGAGAAAGAGAGAGCGAGAGAGCACGTGTCTATATCCGTGCAGACGCGTGGAGGCGAGTCTGCGAGCCCGTATTAGGGAAGGTGCTACGTTCTCCACGGTAGCGGATTTCCTCGTTACCCCTACTGTTCAATCGCACGCATATTCGAAGATGTATGGAATGCACGGTAATTAACTTGCATGTCCTACACGCAGCGAGATTACAAAGTATTTGTATATGTGCTCAAGTGCTATTACATTATACAATAGTATTAAAAATTTGAAG